CAGCCTCCTCTCTGCTGGTTCATAAAGCTCAGCGGAACTCGGCGGGAGTTGGCTGTGCCGTCAGTGTCCCTTGGGCAGCTGCATGGGAATTTTGCTGCTCCCAGGAGGAAGAAAGAGGCGTGAAAAGCTTCTTGTGCTCTTCCTTTCTGCTTAGCGAGTCCTCGCGCTGCCTTGTTGTGGGCTGGAGTCAGATGCGTGGCAACTAACAGCGTCTTCTTTGTGCCGGCAGGGGGCCGTGGCCGTGGCCGAGGGTACCGTGGCCGTGGCAGCAGAGGAGGAATGAGAGGGCGAGGCATGGGCAGAGGTGGCCGGGGCAGGGGACGGGGCGATCACCCTGAGGACGAGGAGGAACTGTACGAGGAGGAAATGGAGGTGAGGGGGAACCGGGGGCGGCGGGGGCGCTGGGCCCCCCAGGGCCTACCTGGCCTAGTGATCTCCTCCCCACACCCCCCCGCGCTGACCCCCTGTCTTCCTGCCTGCCTTGCAGTACTGAGAAGAAGAAGAGCCCGGGGGAGAGGAGGACTACGACGACTATTCCAAGGAGCTGAGCCAGTACCGCCGGAGCAAGGACGGGCGGGGGCGAGGTGTGTGCCCGCCGGGGCCGGCCGGGCAGAGGAAGCGGGAGGGCCTCTCTGGCTGGTGGGAAAGCCAGCCTGCTCCCAGGCCCCGGGGCCCTTCTTGCAGGCTCTGCGGCTGCTGCGGCCACCGTGGCCGCCCTGCCCCTGCTGGCGTGTGTGGCCTTTTGGGGCTGAACTTGCACCGTCCCATCTTCGGGGGGGCGGGGGAGTGATCTCATTGGCACTGTTGTTTCAGGACCGGGTCGTGGCTCCAGAGGTCGTGGCTCCAGAGGGCGAGGCAAGGGGATGGGCCGGGGACGAGGGCGTGGCCGAGGGGGCATGGGCAAAGGCGGAGGCGGGATGAACGAAGACGACGACTACTATGACGAGGACCTGGGGGTGAGCGGCCTTCCTGGCAGAGGTCTCCTGGGCGTGGGCTTCCCTCGTCCCCGGTGGCTGTGCGCACCCAGCGCAGGACCTGCCCTCATTTCTGTGCCCCCCCTCTCGCCATTCCCACAGGACGGCAGCGGGAATTACAGGCGGGGCGACCACGAGAAGTCTCACCAGCAGTCGGACAAGAAAGGGAAAGTCATCTGCAAATACTTTGTGGAAGGCAGATGCACCTGGGTAAGGAGAGGCGGGGGGGTGGAGCGGCTGGCCTGGTCAGGGTGTGGAGCCGAACAGCAGGCGGAGGGGGGGGGTGGGCGGCCTGGTCCTCTGGGTTCCTTGGTGTGCGGCCTCCGTCCCCGGGCTCTCCCAGCCGCCAAAGGGTAAAACAAAACAGGGCCTGGATAAAGAAGAGCTATGGCGGCAGCCCCCTCCCCGCGCCGACACCCCCACGGCTGCCGCTGCATGACCACCTGGGGCTGGGGGGCTCTTCCCTCCCTTACGCCCTATGGCAGCCCCCATGCTGGGAACTGTGGGGCAGAGGGGGGCGATTCTGAGGAGAAGGGTGTGAGCAGCAGGGCCCTTCCCGTCTGTGCCATGAACAAGGGCGTGCAAAGTGCCCCCTTTGCCCACGTCCCTCTCGAGGTGTGAGGGCCACGTGAGCGCTCCTAGAGGCGCATCCTGTGGGCAATCGCTCGAGAGGGCAGGATGGGGCTGTATCCTATTCTTTCCACAGCAGCCACCTTTTTTTCTGCCGAGGCGGCTGCTTTTCTGCTTGTTCAGTGATCCCCGGGAGAAGCCGCACACAGACACCCGCCCCGCGCCGCCCGCACTCCCAGGAGAGGCGGAGAGATCCTGCTGGGTGTTCCGTTCTCTGGGATTCCCCAGGAGTCTCTCACAGGCATCCTGTTCGGTGGCACTCACTGTATTTCCGGTCTTTCCGGCCAGGGGGAACACTGCAACTTCAGCCATGACATTGAGCTACCAAAGAAGCGGGAGCTGTGCAAGTTTTACATCACGGGCTACTGTGCCAGAGCAGAAAACTGTCCCTACATGCATGATATCCTTCCCACCTGCTGCCCTGCGGGGTTTCCTCGGGCTGGGGGGGCGGGGCGGGGGGGATCCCTGCCTTTATGCAGCCGGCCTCTGTGGCCACCCATCGCCTGGTGGAGCCGAGCTTTTTTGCGGGAGCTGGAGGAGGAGGAGGGATAACCTCAGCGGGAACGCTGGCAGGGGACAGGGCAGCTGCGGGCAGACAGCGGCTTGGTTGCCTGGCCTGGGTTTGCGTTGCAACTTTTCCTTAACGTGGCTGCCGAGCACGGGACTTCCCTTGCAAGCTGTTCCATACGACCGGGAACTGCATCAACGGGGGCGACTGCATGTTTTCTCACGAGCCCCTCACGGATGAGACACGAGACCTGCTGGAGAAGGTGAGCCTGCGGGGGGGGGGGGGGCGGAGGAGGATGCTGCTCAGGGGCTCAGGAGGACCCAGGCTGGCGTGGCAGCATTTGGGGGGGGGGGAGGGACACACGTGGGTGCCGGTCAGTGCACAGAGACCGCCCACACGCACACACACACCGCACGTTCTCTTGCTTGCGCCTCAGATGCTGGCCGACGATGCCGAAGCGGGAGCGGAAGACGAGAAGGAGGTGGAGGAGCTCAAGAAGCAGGGCATCAACCCCTTGCCCAAGCCCCCTCCCGGGGTGGGCCTCCTGCCCACCCCCCCTCGCCCCCCGGGGCCCCCGGCCCCCACCTCCCCCAATGGCCGGCCGATTTTTGCAGCTGCAGCAGGACATGTACAAGAAGATCCCCTCTCTCTTCGAGATCGTGGTGAGGCCCACCGGGCAGCTTGCGGAGAAGCTGGGTGTGAGGTAAGCGCCCCCCTCCCTCCCTCCCTCCCTCCCTTCCTCCGGGTCTGGGGAGCAGAGCAGAGCGTGGCCCCGGCCCCTCACTGGTGGAGGCCGCTCGAGCGCCTTCGGGGCAGGCTCTGGGTGTGGGGTGGCTCCTCGCCCGCTCCGCCCGCCCGCCTGTCTCCTGCCTGTGCCTGCCTGGCTGCTCCCCCTGACCCTGCCTGCATCCCGTCTTCTAGGCACCCGGGTCTATCGCCGCCACGCTTCCCTGGGCCTGTGCATCCTGACATGTGCCCTGACATGCCTCCGGACATGTGCCCCGACATGTGCCCCGACATGCCCATGGGTCCAGGCATGAACCCCGGTCCTCCCATGGGCCCTGGGCCACCCATGATGCCCTTTGGCCCGGAGGACATGCCACCCGGCCCACCGCCGCCCGACTTCTACGACGGCTTCTACCCGCCACCAGAAGGCATGGAGATGGAGCCCGGCATGATGGGCGGCCCAGGTGAGCCGGGCGCGGGAGTGGGCAGCAGGCGCTCGCCAGGCGGTGTGTGCCTCTCTCTGGCCGGTCTGGGCTGGCCCTGTGAGCAGAGTGTGGACCGGTGCCGCCGACTGGGTTTGGTGCTGCGCTCACTGCTGGCTCTTTGCTCCCTTCCTCCGTGGCAGAGGGCTACGGGAACTATGAGGAGATGGATGAGCTGCCCGAAGATAACATCTTCCCAGACCCCTCTTTGGAGCCTGACGTCACAGGCGAGGGCATGGCCCCCCGGCTGCTGAAGCCCTCCGCCAGCATCCCCGACTTCCTGCCGTCCACCCAGAGGGCCCTTTACATGCGGATCCAGCACAAGCAGCAGGAGGAGGAGGAGGAGAGGGCTCGCCGTCAGGCCGAGGGCTGCAAGCAGGATCGGGAGCAGGAGGAAGGTACTGTCGGCCGGATTGCCTTCTTACCAAGCTTGGGGGAATTGTGATGTTAAAGGGCAATTGGCATATAGTGCAGGGGCATACCCTGTGTAGACCACAGTCAGAATTCCCAGAGCCCGTGAATAGACGAGTAGACCAGGTTGCTGTGATCATTGGTCTTTTACTTAATAATTCTTAAGCGTACAAAAATAACTAGCACGCATACAACCCGCAATACAGGGACAGGAGAAATAGGATAGGAAAAGACAGCGACATTTGCATTAGCAGGAATATCGTTGGTGGGTGATATGTTACCTGTCCGGCGAGATGAGTAGACCGTGCAGTTGAAAAGGGAGCAAAAGAGAGGGGAAGGGGATCGTGAGCCAGCCAGCGACACATGTGGAGTGGTCCCAAACTGATCAGGGATGGAACCGGAAAGGTGGGGGGGGGGGCGGAAGCTTTGGGAGCGAGCAAGAGAGGGGGAGAGAGAGAGAGAGAGTCTCCCTTAAGCAGCCAATTTTGTGACCTGTGGCAAGAACCGGGCAGTCACTGGTTCCCAGGAAATGTAGAGAGCAAAAACAGTACCTTGGATGGATAGGGCAAAAGAAATGACATAAGAAATGACATAAGAACATTAGAGATGCCAGTGTAGAGATGCCAATGTTGGATCAGGCCAAAGGCCTATCCAGTCCAACACTCTGTGTCACACAGTGGCCAGAAATACCAGGTGCCATCAGGAGGTCCACCAGTGGGGCCAGGACATTAGAAGCCCTCCCACTGTTGACCCCCCCCCCCAAGCACCAAGATGACAGAGCATCCCTTGCCCCAGAGTCCCTATCTATACCTTGTGGCTAATAGGGGCCACTGATGGACCTCTGCTCCATATGTTTATCTAATTCCCTTTTGAAGCCGTCCATGCTTGTAGCCACCACCACCTCCTGTGGCAGTGAATTCCAAGTGTTAATCACTCTTTGGGTGAAGAAGGACTTCCTTTTATCCGTTCTAACCCGACCGCTCAGCAATTTCATGGAGTGCCCACGAGTTCTTGTCTTGTGAGAAAGGGAGAAAAGTACCTCTTTCTCTACCTGCTCTTTCCCATGCATAATCTTATAAACCTCGATCATGTCACCCCTCAGTCATCGTTTCTCCAAGCTAAAGAGCCTTAAGCGCCTTAACCTTTCCTCATAGGGAAAGTGTTCCAACCCCTTTATCATTCGAGTTGCCCTTTTCTGCACTTTTTCCAAAGCTATAATATCCTTTTTAAGGTGTGGTGACCAGACGGCTGGGTCATTTAGGGTTTTGGTGTGCGTAAGGGAGTGAAACCTCTTGGGGAGGAAGGGGTGTGATCCGGGAGTGGGGAAAGTGGGTGCAGCGGGTGCTTTTGTGCCGTGGGCGCTTTCTGGAACGGTGGCAAGGAGGCTGATCGTATCTCTTGTTTCCGGCTGGGCAGCGGTCTTTGCTTGAAGGTGACGGGGGGGGGGGGGAGGGATGTGCTGCATGACGGAGGAGCGACCCCTTCCTCGCCCCTCCCAGAGCACGGCTCCCCTCTCTGGTCTTCGGCTGTTTCTGTGTTCACGGAGCCCCGGGGCTGGCGGTCGGCGTTGCGGTGCCTGTGCAGGTGCAGAGTGGCGCATGGGCAGAAGCCCTCTGTCGTCTTGGGTCCGGATCTGGCTTGGCATGTGCCTTTGGCACAAGGCTCTGCCCTGGCCACGGGATATGCCGTCCGTGGTCCAGTGTGGGGCACTCAGCGGGGGGCCGCAGCTCTGCCTGTTGCCCTGCCGGCAAACCCCCACACACACACACACACCTGACAGTCCAGTAAAAGGCATTGAGAGTAAGAGAGTCCCTTAACTGTGCAGACTGGAACAACTTCTTGGCAACTGTTGGGGGCCACAGCAGCCCGTGAGTGTGGAGGGTTAGGGTCTTCCCTCCTCTCCTGTCTCCCCACCCCCCACCCCCGCTCTGAGGATCTGGGCCAGGGAAGCTCCTTTGCCTCCAGGGCTGGAAGGGTTCAGCCCCTCTTGGCTTCTCGCCTCTGGCATTCAGGCGGAACTCCCTAATGTCACACCTGCTGCACTG